CATTTGTGTATTATCTGGAAGTCCCCAATCGTTTAACAAGAGCAGGGTTGGCACAAAGCTGTGGTAGCGGTACACAGAGTAGTAGTATAGTGCGCACCATCTTGCTTCTCGATCTAGCGATATCTACCGTGCGCGTCGTCTGTACGGAGTACGTCGTACTTATAATTACGGAGTATAGCTAGCTCGATCGATCTACTGGCCAAACTTCAATTTTTTTTCGCTCTCTCTCTTTCAAATCGCGTCCAAAATTAAATCTTCCAAGTCACTTCACCTTTATTAAGTTTATACGTACAAGCATGCATCGATCGATCTGCATCTCTATACTAGTACGAACTACTCGTAGCGTACGAGGCTGTATATATGCTGCAGCAATACATACGCATTCATATGCACAAGAGGAAGCTACTACTCCCTCCGTCCTATAATATAAGGGATTTTGAGTTTTTACTTGCACTGTTTGACCACTCGTCTTATTCAAAAAATTTTGAAATTATTTTTTTTGACTTACGTTATTATACAAAGTATTTTAAACGTAACTTTTCGTTTTTCATATTTGCACAATTTTTTTTGAATAAGACGAGTGATCAAACAATACAAACAAAAACTCAAAATCCCTTATAACTCAAAATCCCTTATATTATGGGAAGGAGGGAGTAAGTAGTTAGCTAGTACAAGTACTGATCTCTACACGTAGTATGTCAGCGAATACTTGTACTTGTACTGTACTGTACGACGTGCCTCGATTTCCAGCCAGGTGCATGATACGTGTAGGGTACAGTAACCGTACAGTGTATCTTTTGCTTTGCTCCGTTGCCACGGCAGAAAATTTAATCTTCCACGAGTCCGGCGGCCATGCATGTAACAAGTATAAGTCCTTTCTTGGTTCCAAAATAAGTTTATTTCTTACTAATCCTACATACATCTACCAATAAAATTTTGAAAAATTAAAAATATCCTTATTTTATTAAATCTTAATACAATTACTCATACTTTATCTACTCCCAATATGTTTATCTTCTACTTTTATAAACTTTGGTATAATGATTACTTAAAAGGTATTTTAGGATATACAAAAGGAGCTTAAAAATAAATTTATTATGGGATGGACCGATGGAGGGAGTATATTTGCATTGGTAGGAGGAGAGAAACCTTTATTTGGTTATTACAAAAGAAGGGGAATCTTTTTTTTTTGGGTCACATGGTTGTATGATTTGGGTCTGTGTATTGTTGTATGTTAGTCCTTCATGCCATCCTTCTTGCCTTGACTATAGTAGTGTAGGAGTACAATTACCCTCACAGGCAGCTTACAGTCCCAGCAGCTGTGTGGCCTCTTCTAGGGATGCATGCAGAACCTTCCTACTAGCATTGCATGCATGGAACCATAAGGACATGAAAAATGGAGGCATCAGTGACAGTGCCAATTAAGTTGAGGTCACCGGTCTAAAATCTGAGCTGGTTCACTGCTGGAAAAGTGATCTTTGTTCGAATGATAAAAATCACATTAGTTCCGGTTCGAATAGGAATCGAGACTAAATAAGACCTTTAGCTTTGGTTCAAAAGCACAACGACACTTATATAAATCAACCGGGACTAAAAATGATTTTTAGTCCCGGTTCAAAAAATGTCAGGCCCCTCACTATCTTTAGTCCCGGCTGGTGTCATCAACCGACCAACTGGGACTAAAGATCGACGCGCCGTATATAATCCCTTGCACTTATCCTCTCCTCCTCCTCATTTGTTCCTCCTCTCTCCTCTCTCTCTCTTCCCTCTCCCTTATCCTCTCCTTTTCGTGCAGTAGTAGCAAGGAGCGAATGAGCGAGCAAGCCGGCGAGCGGGTGGCGGCAGCGCCCTCCCCTCCCGCTAGATCTGGTGGGACGGTAGGCGGTAGGCGGTAGGTGGCGGCGCAAGAGGAGGCGACGGGTGGCAGCAGCGCCCTCCCCTCCGCCGGATCCGGTGGGAGGGGAGGTGGCTGGCTACGGCGGCCTGTGTAGCGGTGGAGCGACGGCGCGAGCGTGATTGCTGGCACCATGTGGGGCGACGGACTTGGAGGCGTGCAGCATTTGTGATGTCTATGAATTTGTTCATTTGTGATGTCTGCGAATTTGTTCATTTTGTGGATCTGTGAAATTGTGATGTGAATTTGTTCATTCTGTGGATCTGTGAGTTTGTGATGTCAATTTGAGTATGTTCATTCGATCTGTGAATTTGTGGATGGTTTTATGATGTTTTTGTGAATGTGGATGATTTTGTTGTTGAGTTCGGTTCGAAATCAATATGCAAGTAGCAAAAATAACAATGAAAAAAAAGAAAAAAACATTTATTAGTCCCGGTTATTTCAACCAGGACTAAAGATGGGGCAGCTTTAGTCCTGGATTGGGCGTCCCGGTTTGCAATCCAGGACTAAAGGAGGTTGCAAACTGGGACTAAAGATGATTCCCCCAGCAGTGATTTTTGCATATAATACAACGTGGTTTCATTTTTTCATTCATTTTAGCCCCTGATGCTTTCTATTTCACTCATATTTTATTCATTTTACATAAAAATATAAAATTGTATACTAAACATATCCTAAAACCGAGAAAATAATATAAAAAATCCTCATCCATCTCCTCTCCACTCCCAGTTGCGGTGTTTCTCACTCTCTCTCCCCCATAGCCTGTCCTCAAAGAACCGGTGAGGACCTCTCCTCCCATGCGCCGATGGAGTTGTACTCTCCTCCTTCCCTGTCGTGGCACCCTCGGACCCTCCTCGCCGCTATCCCTTATTCCTTGTTGCAGAATTGGTGAGGAGCTCAGCACACCCTCTCTTTGCTGCCATCTCTTTCACGAGTTAATGGAGAAGAAGCTCTATGACGACATGTGGGAACGAGGGAGGAGCTAGGTGGTGGTGGCAAGCTCAACCTCGGCAGAGATTGGGATCCGACATCGACGGTGCGTCTGGTAGATCAAGTCGGCCCCTCTTCTCCTCCCTCATCGGCGAGCAAAGATTGAACAGCAATCTCAATGGTGCAGATCAAGGCAGCGCCACCTGGCAATGAGCAAATCAAGGTGAGCAGCATCCGCAGATGTAGTGATGAACTCGACGGTGTCCGTGGTGGTAGTGTCCTCTTCTCTTCCTTCCCACCGCACTTGTTATCTTCTTCAACCTCATCCATCGCACCACCACCTTTTGTCAAATCTAGCCTAGTTAACACGCAGGGGCATGCGTCACGAGGCCACGGCCTTGCCCAACATGTAACGACTCGTGATCCGTACTTCGAGCGTGGTTGCCTCAGCCCTGCAACTCAACCGTGCCCTCTATGGGGCACGATTGCAACCAAGCTGGTGAGCCACCTGGCTCCAATGGGGCCTAGCGAAGCCACTCGCCACATCCCTGCCTTGTACACACGCCATAATAGGATTAATTACTAGAGACCATGTAAAATGGAAAACAAAATAATACTCTCTTTTGTTTCACATTATAAATCATTTTACATAATAAGTCATTTTAGTTATGTCTAAAGTCAAATATCTCCCGAGTATATAGAAAGAAGAAAATCGGACAAATGCCATGCATTGACAAACTAAGTGTTTTATTCCAAAAAAAATACCATCGACGAATGTAACTTTCAAGAAATACCATCGCATGAATCAATTTTTCCTAGAAATGTTATCACTGTTAGGGTTCCGTTGTTTTCTTTCCGTTAAAATGTAATAGGATTAACAAAATGGAATGGATGAAATCCTAACTATGATGATATTTGTAGTGGATTTAATAAAACTGTTGATGTTTATAGATATTTAGTTTTGTCTATTAAACTCGGTTAAAATTAGAGGTCGAAGTTTGATTCAGGACAAAACTTTAATGTTGTAATTGAGGGAGTAGTATACTAACCAGCTGCAGTGTGTATATATATATACACACACACTAGTTCATATCACTAGTACTCTCGATGTGTGCTATCTAATAATCTTATTATCATTTACTACTACTACTACTACTATTTCGTATTAGTGTATACTCATATTACCCACTGCCATGCCAAAGCCGGTATTTCACTTCTTTTATCCGTTCGGCTAGCAAACTTGGGCCTCGTGCCATCCAACATTAGCCCCGTCCGCTCCTTCCTCCCGGCCCAATACGGTTCACTGCCATGTGGGCCCCAACAACCTCGGGCCCACACGTTAGTTGGCGTTTTGGATCTCGACGCGGCTGCTTCACGTACACCTCGCAGGCCGTAAAAGGAATCAGCTACGTACGGCCCATACTATTTGGGCCGGAACGGGACTACTCCCTCCATTCCAAATTGATTTACATATATTTTTTTTAGTTTATTTCTAAATGATCTACATATTTATATTCATTTATTAAGTCTATTCGTTATTTATGCATTGGAGTAAATGTATATTGATGCATGCATCCATACACATAAGTATTTATAACCCACATGTAATATCTTGATTTGCTATTGGCTAGGAAATAATAGGGATGGTGCATGCATCGAGTTTGTTGCTAGAGTAAATATAGTATGAGAAAGTTATTAGCTTTTAAATATAGTATGAGAAAGTTATTAGCTTTTCTTGATCTCGTTGTAACTATGAAATATGTAGATCAATTTAGAATAGAGGGAGTACGATCTACGTGACGCTCATATATATTGGGCCGGAGCGGCACTCGGAACCATTTTGGGCCTATATATATTTGGTTGGGCTGGAACGGGATTGATGGCAAACTTACGTTCTATATCTGTTGGGCCAACTCGTCAGTTACAGTATTGATGGCGTGATGCAGCACGATTCTCACTCAAAAATAACGAAAAAACATTAAAAAAGATAAAATTATTATTTTTCTCTGAGAATGGTACTTTTTATCTAGCATCTACATCCAATTAAATATATGCAGCCTCCCAATTGTAAACTTAGCCTTTCAAATAATGCAGTCTGAAATTCGATTCTATAGAGAGTTAAACTTAAGAACTTGAACTTAGAGTAACTGCAACCATAAAATATAAAATAAAGATAAGCAGTACTGAACGTCTCAACGAATTGAATTCAATTTTATTTCTTGACAAATGTAACAAGCAAATCCATATTTACAATTTGTAGGCTACTAGGCACACACCTACCAAAAGAATCGCCGCCGTCGTCGTCACGATTCCGCCGCCGTCGCCGCCGCCGCATCCACCGCGTTCTGGTCAATGAAGTTGACCAGCGCGAGGCCGGCGGCCCAGACGTCGTCGTCCATCACGGACTCCTCCGGCGAGTGGCTCACGCCGCCGCGGCACCGCACGAACAGCATCCCCACCTTCGTCAGCCTCGCCATCGCCATCGCGTCGTGCCCCGCTCCGCTCATCAGCACCGGCGTCTCGCCGCCGGCCCGGCGCACGCCCGCCGCCATCGACGAGATCGTCGACCGCGTCGCGCGCTCCAGCCGCGACGTCAGCTCCGCGTCGCACGGCGTCGCCGCCGCCGCGTGCTGCAAAAAAACAAACACCAACCAATCCGCAGTTTTAACACCAGACCACCTGCAAAACAAAAAAAACATCGCGAAATCACAAGCGAAATGCTTCGGTTTCTTGGCACCTTCTGCTCGACGGCGCAGTCGACCAATCTGTCGTCGCATCTCTGAAGAACAAGCCTCGAGAAGCTGGTGACGATCGTCTCCCTCACCTTGTCGTCCATGGCGCGTATGTCCACCGTGAAGTTCACCTGCATAAGATCACCAAACTCCAAAAGCTTCAGCAGAGCCAGCTTAGCTTACCTGGAAGCATCATCACCAGCAATGATCAAGCTGAATTATACATTACATTACCTGGCCTGGTATGACGTTGCTGGCGCTGGGCCATGTCAGGAGCTCGCCGACGGTGCAGACGAGTCCGGCGAGGGATTCCTCAGTGAAGCAGCCGCATTCCTCGTCGTAGGTGAGGAACTTGTTGGGTTCTTTGCAGAGCGTCTCCAGTGTCAGGACGAGCTCTGCAGCTGCAACCATCGGATCACGGCGCAATTTCATTGGAACCGTGCCAGCATGCCCTTGTGAACCATTTATAATTACCTAAAGAAACCAGAAAGTTGCTAAGCAATGGCAGTTGAAAGCAAGCCCAGCTTGTTTGATCGATTATATTTTGGCCAGCACCTACTAATCTGTTACTGTGGGCATCGAGATTGAAAACTAGTTTAATTAGTTTTTGTAGTGTAAGGAAGCACTGCTCATGCTAAAATCACACTGAGATTAACGGATTTGGATAATTCAGAACAATATCAAACATCAACCTTGGTGATAGTCAGCTAAGCTGGTTATCACTGTTTATTAAAGAAAGCTCATGCTATAACATTTTACTTGATTTGCAAGTACCAACTCTACGCTGGTGCAGTCTTTCAAAATAGTTTGTTAAACGAGAATCTTGTGAAGTACTAATAAAGTTCTTCAGTTGTCACTGATTAATAGTACCTGACCTCAGCGTTGACTTCGAGCACTGACATTCTTTGCTAAAGAATGACCAGCAATATAATTGCTTACTTGATTGTTTACTAGGTCCTGGTCATTTTAGCATGCCAATTGTTTGGAAAAGTTGGTCTAAATTTAGTATGCAATGCTACCTGGTCATCTTTTAGTTTTGTTTTCAGAAACAAGTCATATTTTTGTTTTGGCTCACATATATAGTTCTATAAGTGTCACCGCTTACTCTTGACCAAAAAAGTATTAACTAGAAAGTGATTGCACCTTTAATCGCGTCTGTCCTGCAATTCCTTTTACAACACCAAGCGGATAACGAAGGGCTTCCAGGACAGGCCCTTGTTCAATGTGAACCTAACCAAAATAGTAATGAAAAAGAATGGTAAATGCTAAATTTCTTATATCTGTTATACACCTAGATTAAAATAATACAGTCTTGTATACCTCGACATAACTCCCGACAGACTCCGGGCTGTACCTTACTTCACCAAGAGCATTAGCAGTGCCCTCAAGAGAATTCAGCTTTAGGACATCTTGAACTGTCGTGCCACTGAAGAAGTTGAATGCAAAATATATACTGAATCAGCAAACAATTTCAAAAAACAGTTCGGTTGATTTATGCGAAAAAAGACAACCTCTTGTCAGATACTTGTAAAATTGATTCAGGTAGTGTACCAGCTACAGCGGCGCTTCCCAGAAAAGTTGTTTGGAATCTAACACCCTCCTCATCGCTGAATGCAATCACCTGAGGTTTACCAGGCAACCGTGAGGCCCAACAGCTTTATGAATTATAGATATCAGAATAAGGTATAGGTTCTTCTCTACATAAGCAGGGAAACAGCCAACTGAGTAAAGAGACATTATATAATGGATTCATCCTGGATTAAATATGTCTATATCTGTAGTCTTTCTGATAATCTATTGTGATAGCAGCCCATTCACGTTCTTTGAAACCTACTATGCTAATTTAAATCAACACGAGATCGATGATGTGGATGACACATACTAAGATACTAGTAAAATACACAAGACAGAGACAAGTTATGTGCAGATAAATGTCTTATTTGTAGGACACATGTGACTCATCATGCAACTAGTAAGGAGTAGGATAGCGACTAATGTAACCCAATACATATATTCTTATGAAAGAAACAAACTATGATGATAAAGTAGTAACATCACTAGCACACTGATGAAAACATTTTATCTAGGGTAATTAATTTTTATCTAACCTCTACTGGTCTAGTAAGTCTCTGAAGTCTCCCAGTAACTTTCAAAACCTTCAAAGCAGAGATTGCAGAGATAATACCCAAAGCTCCGTCATACATGCCAGCATCAATAACAGTGTCCTGTTTTCCCCCCAAAAAAAAACAAGATTTATTTTTTTTATCAGTGATTTTATTTAACTAGAAGATGTGCGACAGTATGAAAAGATATATCTATTTCTCACCATGTGAGATCCGATCAACAAGGCCTCCTTGGTTGAGTTGGTCGGTTCAAATCGACCATGAATATTCCCCATTTGATCAATCCACCTTAATATAAGGCATATATTGGTCAGCAAAGGTCAAAGTTTGAGAAAATGACTGCAGTATAAACAAGAGAAGAAAAATCTACGTGGTAAGTCCGGCATCTTTCATCCAGCTGATAATGACAGCAGAGGCTCTGATTGAGGCAGGACTCAAAAATGTCCTCTCAAGGTAACCTTCCCCATCAGATATCTGATTCACACAAAACGACGCCGTGTTAGGACTGCATGGCTAAACTGTTAGGCAATAGAGTAAAAATAAGGTGCAGCACGGATCTTTGAAACCAGGATTTTGTTCAGTTTATATATATTTAATATTTCAACTGGAGAACGTAAAAATTGAGCAACCTTCATAGCGTAAGGTCATCTCACCCGAATACAGGAGATGGATATGATTCTTTGGAATGACCAATAAACATAACTAATAGAGAAAAGGAACAAAAGCCTTACAAAAGTTTGATGCTTTAACGCCTAGTAAAATGAAATTCACCCCAAAAAAGAAGAGATGAGAAGCCTAGAATATATTTGCAATCCTTTTGCATAATTTTCGAGTAGCCTGCAGCTAGCTGTCTTGATATGGTCTGTACTGGTAAGTTATACAAAATGAAATTGTATTCTCTCCGAGGAAAGAGTGAAATTGTATCCTAAAAATGAAATTTACACTGTTCATCTGATGAACAAAGAAGTGTACACACATGAACCCCACAGATATTTTTTTAAACCTATATATGGTCATTTGGGTGTCAATAGCTGTCCACATATAACACCTAGAATTAATTTATATTTCCAATTATGAAGCTATCTGAATTAGCAACAAACAGAGGTAGCAGCATGCAGGAGCCCAAACAATCTATACAATCCGGACGAGATTCCCCTTAAAAAGTGGATCAAAGAACTGAATATTCCAACGACATGAAGAACCTGACCTTGCCAAGTTCTTTGAGCCTGAGCACCGTCTCATCCCTGAGGATCTCCCTGTAGAGCCCATCTCCTCCCAGCTCCAATCCATCTAACAATCAGACACCACAAAAAAACATCCATCACAAACAAAGAAACAAAATCAGAAAGAAGAAGCAATTTCTGATAGATGGCAATGAAGTGGATGATCCAAGAACCAAGACCCACCCAAGATTGGGAGGAGGAAGAGGGCGTAGGCGGAGAGGATGAGGAGGTGGATGGATGGGTGGCGCCTGGGGTAGGAGAGGAGGAGAGCCATGGCCACTTTTGTGTTGTGCTTGTGTGTGTGTGGCCTCTCTGGCTCTTCCCTTCCCACAGCGGGTGTGGCTGTGGCTCATGGCGGCTGCTTTTATAGCACCCTCAATTTCCCACGAGAGCCCTTGAAGCCGTCAGCTGTCGCGTGGGTCCGATGAACCCTGAATATACTCCGGGCACATCTACAGTTTCAGCTCCACCAAAAATAGAAGCGAAGCTAGGTGTAGCTCTCTCACAAAATAAACTAAAGAAGTGAAGCTAGGTTTAGGCAGCTCCACAACTCCACTCCATAACTAACTTCTGAAGTTAAATTTAGGAGTTAGAGTTCTACCAAACAGGTCCTCATCTGTCTTATAATATAAGAATAAGCAATCAGCTGACACGTGGGTCCGATGAACCTTGAATATACTCATCCGTTTCAAAATATAGAACCTATAATTGAATGGGATATTTGTTAGGACTACGAATTCGGAATGATAGCCTGTTTATATTCGTAATACTATAAGATATCCTATATGAGAATGATAATGGCACGATATCTTTAGAGGCAGAGGATCTCAATGCATATATGAGCCTCTTGCCAAATCTGCTTCTGTAAAACCTTCCCAATAATTACTCTCTTGGTGAAATAAGTCCAATATAAAATATGATACATTTAGTACCTATTCAGATTCTAATAATGTGTAACATTTCGTATCTTTTAGTGACACGAAAGGAGGAGAGTATGCATGGCATGAACGGAGCCAGATTTGAGAGCAATGGTGAAAGCAAGGAAAATTATAGAAAAAGGAAAAGAAAAGAAAAGAAAAGGAGCGAACTGAAGGGATTCCGTTTGGCAACACACAGTGCCCTTGCATCACGGAAGTGCCCTGAGCTGACGACCTTTCTGGACAGACCGTCTGCGCCGTCGATGCAGGACACGTGTACGGGCGGATGATGCGGCTGGCTGACCATGCAGGTGCAATGCATTGCACACACACGGGACAAAACTCGAAAAGTAGAAGAGATCCACACAAGTCGATCGTAGGTAGGAGTGGCGCGCAGAGAATCTGGTGGTGGTCGCAAAACGGTGGCCGTCGCTATCCAGCCGAACAGAATCTGGAATCCAGCGAGTCCCCCAACAACAACAAACCCAGCAAGCGACCTACCCAAGTTGTAGCTCCCGTAACGTCACTGACAAGCGGGCCCACGAGGATGGTGTGGGGCCGGTCCACGGGTGGACGCCGTGGTGCATGCAACTAGCTTATCTTATGCCGTTTAGTTCTCGAACAGAAAATTTTGGATATATACATGAAGTATTAAATATAATAGAAAAACTAATTGCGAGATGAATCTTTTAAGCTTAATTACACCATAATTTGATAATATGGTGCTTCAATAAATTCGTCTCGCAGTTTACAGAAGGAATATATAATATATTTTATTATTAGACTATGTTTAATATTTTAGCGTGTCCGTATATTTAATGCGACACAAAAAAAACTTTTTCACCAAGTGATCGAGGGAGAGATGGACGTGTTGGGGTTGGATTCTGCCGCTCAAGTGCAGCCTGGTGCGTGAGGAGACCCAAAAAGCGGCTTTAACGGTGTGCGGCTAAACCGTTAACTTATTTGTAGTTTAGAATAAATTGTAAATTTATTTATTTTGATTTATTGGTGGGTTCAAGTGTTAGTTACTTGTGCCAAATATTCAGATCAATAGGTTGAGTGTGACGGGCCAAGAGCTTTAGGCTGAATCTGAGGACGGATAAGAATGGACGAACCCACAAGTTTCTCTGCTCGATCGACCACCACTCGCATGTAAAGTAGAATGAACCGATAGGATATACATAGCACGTATACTAAACTAGACTATTATATATGTACTCAAATTATGGAGTCAGCTTGAAGACACGCCTACAACTAAGTTATGTCATCTTGCCCTGGTTCTATATGTAAAATCCAAGCTTTTTTCTCTCAAAAAATTGTATAGAATTTGCATGAAGCTTGTATCCTAGGCCTCCACCAGAAGTGATACATCATGAATCTAGATGTGTATCTTAATATCTACAAGCTATTTAGGGTGTCTTTAGCCGCTGCGGCATCTCTTACAATCAATTTAATCATAAAGAAATTAAAATCCAGGAAATTCACTATAAGTCAGAAGATGTTTTTTTTCCAATTTTTCTAGATTTCTACCATCTGAATTCCCATTAGTTGATTCTCATAATCTAAAATTACTTAAACAGTCCCTAGTCCCATCAACCATAACATGCTAAGGCCTTATTTGTAACGAAGTAAAATTTTTGCGGAGAAAATAAATGGCTCCAATAAAAGTGTTGTTACCACATTTGAAAAGGTGGCACTTTTAACTTTATGCTCAATTCACACTTAATTACCAATATTTGGCGGGGGGACAAATGTTGATTTCACGAAAATCAGCCAATGATAGCGATCGATCGTTTAGTTAATTAATAAGCACCAGTGGTGTGATGTGGAACCATATGCCATCAATTTCAAAACTTAATTTGGCGTTCACAAGTATCACTTGAATCTTGTTCTTCACAAATATATACAGTACTACTTAGACATGTGCATTTTTAATATAATTTTATTGATGTAGGGTTTTTTGCCGTTGATTTTTGTCACATTAAATGCACGATAAAAAGGCACGTGAAATGCTTGAGAATAGTTTTGTATATGCATCTTTCACCTAATAAACAAAACGATACTCCCTTCGTTTCATATTATAAGTCGTTTTGACTTTGGTCAAAGTCAAACTACTTCAAATTTAACTAACTTTATAAACAAATATAGTATATTTACAATACCAAATTATTTTCTTAAATCGATAATTAAATATATTTTTATAATAAATTTGTCTTGGGTTAAAAATGTTACTGTTTTTTTCTATAAATTTGGTCAAATTTGAAGCGATTTAACTTTAACTAGAGTCAAAACGACTTGTAACCTAAAACGGATGGAGTACTTTCTCTGTCAAAAAAAAACTCAACCTAGGACAACAAATCTGGACAAAGGATAGTCCAGATTTATACTCCTAAGAGTGGTCACATCCTCTTTTTTTTTTTTTACGGAGGGAGTACATGAATAACAATCAAACTATTGCTCTCTTTTTTCCGCCCCTCCGTTCTTTAATATAACGGATTTTGACTCTTTGTTTACACTGTTTAACCATCGTCTTATTCAAGAATTTTTACAATTATTATTTTTTTCGACTTACTTTATTATCAAAAGTACTTTAAATATAACTTTTTATGTTGTATATTTATATAAATTTTTTAAATAAGATGAGTGGTCAAACAGTACCAGCAAAATATCAAATTCTCTTGTATTAGGAGACGGAGGGAGTACTAGTTTGTGCAGAGCATGAAACGCGCTGGTTGGACGTACGTGGCGTCAGATGGGCACCTGACAGCCCTCACGAGTGTGGATGATGGATTAATGCATTAGCTCTGAATTCTGATGATCTGCTGCTTACATATGCAAAATCCGGCCGCATATTTATAATCAAATCTGGTTCTTTACATTTATTCTCTTCATTGTTTATCTTTTCCAAAAAGAACCATTTGCATGCCATCACTAAAATCCATGAGTGCTGTGTTGATTGAACATATCCTCCAAAAGATAAATACGTTATTTATGTAACGTAGCCGGAAGGAATCAATGTTATGGCACAATATCACTAAATGTTGATAATTATTGGTCCCAAGCTAGTCGAAGGAGATGATTTGATACGTACCTGGCTAGCTAATATAACATTTTCAAATAAAAATGATTGCTTTATTCGATTGAGGCATAAAAATAACCAATGTTCACTCAATCTTATGATATAGTAATGTTCACTACGATCATGCGCCGCAAGGCAATATTATAGAAGACGAAGGTGCCACTAAAAATCATCAAAATGTTTATGTGGTTCTTTCATAAGAAGTAATTAATTTTTTAACAAATGATAACCTTGCAAAGAGGAACTAGGGGGCGATAAGCAAAATTGTTTTCTAATGTGCAAGAGACAATTCAATACCATTTCTTTGAATGTCACATAGATCGATTTGCTTGACTTGGCAATGTATCTTATTTGCTTTCAAACGTCCTCCCCACAGTGCCAAAAATATAATTGTGAATTGACTTATGGGGGATGTCCCGGTCAAGAAAATTGGCTTTATTCGAAGCCAATGCATAATATTGGTCAAGTAATTAATCTTTTATCAAAGGATAACCTTGCAAAAGGGGATTAAGGGGTGATAAGCAAAATTGTTTTCTAATGTGCAAGAGACAATTCAATACCATTTCTTTGAATGTCATATTGAGCAATTTGCTTGGCGATGTATCTTATTTGCTTTGAAAAGTCCTCCTCTCCATGGTGCAAAAAATATAATTGTGAATTGACTTGTGGCAAAAATATAATTGCGAATTGACTTGTGGGGGATGTCCAGGTCAAGAAAACTAGTTCCATTTGAAGCTGGTGCATAATATTGGTAAATTAATTGGTATTACTAAAATGATAAAGTTTTTATAATAGAAAATAGGCTATATGCAGGTTATCTTCAGGTCTCTCATCTGGCTTCACACTTATCTTTGATGCTAGCACAAAAATAGTAAGATACTATACACTGTGGTGCTATACTCTTGGAGGTTGTAGCCTTTTATTTCGTTTTGGATAGCATAGTACCTATATAATTAATTACTAAAATATATTCTATTTATCTTAACTTTCAATGCAACATGTCCAATCACTCTATATAATTATTTTAATTTATTGGTTGTTTCTCTGTCGATAGAGTCCGAAAATGTAAACCATTTTTATTATCTTAAAAACAATAAGTGCTGTGCTGATTGAAGTTTTTTCGATGAATGGTTAAAGTGATAATGATGATAATCGATACGTTTTGTGTAAGAATCTCTGACTATTAGCCGCAAAAGGTGAGATTATTATGCTTCCACGCAAGAATTGCACTGTATAATGGAGCAAAATTAAGTCCTAACTAGGCAAGTTAGTACAATAATGCATGGCCAATGGTTAAGAATGCACCGTACGTAGTGATCGATGACACGATCGATCGTAAATGTGACCTTTTCATGTCTGCATTAGCTGAACCACGTTTTTTTTTTTGGTATATTCAGTGCTATCATGATCAGAGAACATTACAAATGGTTTGTCTTTTGCAGCACCGAGTCACCGATGGCCCAAACCCCTATAGTACCGATGATGTGACATGTGGCATTTCTCTTGCCCTTTTGACACTATCGTGTGCCTTTTATCATGAGTTCATGACACTATCATCGAATCATAGCGAAAATTAAAAATCGCCTACAACTTTCTTCTCTGTATGTGTTGTTTACAGTTTGCTTGTGTCTTCTTCGTCACCAATAGCCACTAGTCAATACTGACATACTCCCTCCGTCCAAAAAAAAAAAAGACAAACCCTGGTTTCCGTGTCCAACGTTTGACTGTCCGTCTTATATGAAATTTTTTTATAATTAGTATTTTCATTATTGTTAGATGATAAAACATGATTAATAATTTATGTGTGACTTATCTTTTTAATTTTTTTTATAATTTTTTTAAATAAGACGAACAGTCAAACGTTGAACACGAAAACTCGGATTTGTTTTTTTTTTGACGGAGGGAGTAGAAACTTCTTAAAGTCTCAATGAAAAGCACTATGACAAGTGGCCAGCATTGTCCGATACTGATGACGTGCCATATATGTGACATTTCTCTTTGCTATGTGCTCACGAGCTCAGGCAGGGCAGCTAGCAAGCCAGGCACTAGTCCAAGTCCAGAGAAGAACTTTGGACTAGGATGTTAATCCCTCGATGGAATTAGTGTTCAGGGATTAGTCCATTAATTTGATCTCCTGAATTCTTCATTTTGTTTAAAGTTCACCTTTCAACTTTAAAATCGTGTATCGACACCTCCTTAGCTTTTTAATACCATTTACCTTACCCTGCTTAGGCCAAACCAAGGCGGATTTCACCTGCATGATGTTGATGTGGCTATCCAATAAGAAAAATCCTAAAAAAAAAATTACAGAGTCCACTTGCCATTGACCACCATCTTGCTTTCTCTCTCCCTTCTCTTCTCCATTTCCCTCCCTATTCAATCTATGCATTGATTACTGATGCCGAGTGTGGACTTCTTTTAAAGACGTTGCCATCAGTATCCTCTCTGAACCTCCAAGGAAACCCGATGGACGCACCACTGCCGCTTGGGCTCATACTCGATTCGAGCCGATAGCGGTGGTGGCAATGACTTCGGTGGGCGTCGAACTATCAGTGTGGTGGAGGATGGCGTGAGCTACGCTAGTGACCATCCTCTCGACTCCAGCGCTCTTCGCCGCCCTCCTCTATGCCAAGAGTGTCACTGCTCTGTCGAGCTCTAGCACCGCCTTCTCTGCTTGGCTGACCGCCGCTCTCAAACTTGACGAGGTGGTTAAGCTTAGGGGTGCAAAGCTCGGTGGAGGGGATAAATGCGAGCTCAGTGAATGAAGCGGATGCGGTGCTCCGGCTAGCCTCTGCAAGGATCGTGAAGGAGGAAGTAGAGACAGAGCTTGAGCTCAATCTCTTATACCGAATTCCACGCACCATCTCGGGTGATTAGTGCGCCACGTGGCTGCCGATTCCAGGGTTTAATTTGCACACACATCCATTGGATTAGGAACCAACGGTAGATATGGTGAAGCCTTGCAAAGAAATAGTCGTCCCTTCACCGACTATTCGCGGGCTGTCTCCAGCGTGCTGCTCTGCATCAGTACCGTCCCTCGTCGATCCGTTCGGAGCCTCCCTTGCCGCACGTCCGCACCAGAGCCACCCCTCGCCTGTAAGTATGGGTGGGCATATTTAGACCGAACCGAAGAAGTGAACCAAAAAGACCGAGACCAACACTGAGAAATTCGGTTATCTGTTCGGTCCCAGCCCTCGAAAGACCGAATTATTTCGGTCATTTCGGTTATTGGGCTCGGTTAACCAAAATGACCGAAATTTTAGCCCAATAGGCCTAGGAAACCCAATAAGCCCACTAAAACAAACCCTAGAAATGATACAACCCTACCATTGCCGCACTCCCATCGCGCTTGGCCTCCGCCTGACTGCCTCCACCGCGCCGCCGCCGCCGCCACCGTCCTCCACCGCGCCGCTGCCGCCTCCGCCCTCCACCGCGTTGGCGACGCCTCCGTCCTCCATCGCGCCAGCGCCGCCTCTGTCAAATTTTTTCATTCCAAACTTACTCCTGAAAAATTTTGGTAAGACCGAGACCGAGACTGAATTTGCTGATCCTGAGATTTTTTTGATGAAATTTGGTCCTGAGTTTTCAAAGACCGAACTGACCGAAAAACCGAAAACCGAGACCGAATTTTTCGGTAAAACCGAATGCCCACCCCTACCTGTAAGATGCCACCTCCTTCCACGATCGTCGTTGCTGAGGCGCCAGCCAATGCGGCCACCCTGCGCGTGCGCCGGCCAGCCGGCTCTTCGCCCACTGCCCGCCCCTTCCCTGCGTCGTCAACCGCGTCCTACTCCTACTATGCCGCCGGGCGTGCCGCGGTGGTTGGCCCCACTGCTGGCCTCCGCTCGAGGCCGTGAAGGCCGCGCTTATCGGTCGTGGCCATGGCCAGCGGTGGTGAGCAAGCTACAGTGCACTGTTTGTTCCATTTATTTCCCTAAACGTGTGGTTGCTGTTTTGTAGTGCGAACTGTGCATTCATGGTGTTCGATGAAATGACCAAGAAAGAAAATATTTCGTTCTTTCTTAGAGTTGCATTTGATAGCACAGTTAGGACTATTTTGTTGGATAGTGTATTAATTGCTCTATTGCTACTACTACTTCTGCAGAAATCCAGGAGAAACACACAACTTGGAATTGCAGAATTTGATGCTGTCATATGAAACTCTTATATGGATTATTAATCAGTTAAGTTATGTATTACTGATTTCATCTTAGTAGCAATCGAATTATACATGAGTTAGATCTATTAGTATATACACAATTAGCATAATCTGGAACAGAAATATTAATGTGCTCAAAGAACATAATCAGGAATAGTTCTTGACAAAACTCAAGTTTGATTTTTTTTTCCTGAATACCCTTTCTAATAACACTTATAATCATCCTGCATTGATACATAGTTTTTTTCTTTGGTCTCAATCCTGCACAATAGTTTCTTTCAAGAATACTTCTCCTCTTGACAAAAGAAAATGATCTATAAAACTGGCGCCATTTACTGACATTTGCATCATAATTGGTTAGTGCCCTAATTGCAAGTGTTCTATTCAAGGGAATGTCCTGAGTATTACTTGAGAAATTCTGAAGTTGCGATCGATTGCAACTGTTCATAATGACCACATTCTTAAGTTAATACATCATGAGCTTGTTATATTTCTTTCCACATTCTCTGTATATTTCTTTCCACATTCTCTGTATCTGAATATGCATTTTTGCAATTATCTGACAAATATATAAAGAATATAATATTTTCTGAGGAGATATTTTTTTCTGAATATCGCTCCCTCATCCTATTTGTTCTGTTGGGTGGATGTTATCACTTTGATGGGTCTATCAACGGGTTGTTCCATTATCATTTGAATGCACCCATAATAAGAACTAACAATTGAGAAACAACAATTTTCCTTAAAAACTAAGGAATGTTGTTTCAAGCTTTTGCTGTTGTGCCACTAGCCCACCAGGACAATCTGGCTTAACTTATGTCTCTTGCTCTTGATCTCCTTCTATCAGTCAGTCTAGGTCCAACTAATTTGTGTTCACCTCCTGACATTTCTAGGGATATGTAAGATATTGAAGATGGAAATTGCTACCGCCTACAAGGTGCTCGAAATCATGACCTCTGGCATTTAAAATGTGTGAAAGACTGTGGTTCTAAACTTTATTTTTGTTTTCCGTGTAACTACATTGTTGTGTTTATTCATTGTGCCATAGCTAGAAGCTAGACCGGAACAACTATGGTAGTATCAGGCTTTTTTTTTATCTTAGTGAATTCATGAAAATATATTTATCTATAGTTCTATCCAGTTTTCGATGATCGTTCTTCAAGGGTTTTTTTTAGCAGAAGTGCCATGGAAGCTAATTTAGCTAAACTTGTTGCATAAGTTAATAACACCATTGAATCTTTCATTTGCCAACCTTTTATAGACCTGAATTTTGGAAACTAATTAGAAAGTAGACACGAGCTATAATGAGCGCGCCACTTGGCGTGCTAATTTTCTAGTGTATGTTGGATGTAGCGTTTGTTCTGATATGTAGTTGATTTCTATTGCCTTCATCTGAGGAAAATTCGTTCAAGCTGATGCCTGATATATGATGAGCTGTAGGTGCTTTGAGATGATTTTGTATGCGCCTTGTTAGCTTTCCTCGTGACAATGCTTTAGGCTGTGTTTAGTTCTAGGGGTGTAAAATTTTGGCAAGTCACATCAGATATATGGACACACATTTGGAGTATTAAACGTAGTCTAATAACAAAAATAATTATAGAATTCGCATGTAAACCGCGAGACGAATTTATTAAGCCTAATTAAACTATCATTAGCAAATGTTTACTGTAGCACCATATTATCAAATCATGGCGCAATTAGGTTTAAAAGATTCGTCTCGCAATTTACACGCAATCCGTATAATTAATTATTTTTTCGTTTATATTTGGCACTCTATACATGTGTCCAAACATTCGATATGATAGGGTATAAAATTTTTGCTAGGGAACTAAACAGAGCCTTAGGCGCATTGTATCCAAACATTGCAGATAGAATCTTGAACCCATGCTACTTTTGAGCCGGATTTCAGATACATTAAGAAAGTCTCCAATCGACAATACAAGGCATGGCGGTCTTCTCCGTGGGTTGTGAAATCTGGTGATGGACTGATGCGTAACAGTGGCAGCCATCACGTGTCCAATACTTTCCTGAATAGCTTTTGGTAATTACTTGTCAGCTCAACCAGTAGTTCTGTTCTAACCATGTGTGCGTATGTGTGTTGTATTTTGCTCTTCGTACTAGCTACCTTGATCAGGGTTGGCCAGTTAGCAAAGTATGACACCAAGATCTACTGCAGACAGACTTTGGTCGACACTTTCGTAGCCTGTTTAGGAATGTAGAAACTTTGCAAGATTTTGGTAGGATTAGTTCATTTTCCATTAAGTTCAGGCTTTAACTTGTATACGGATATAATTGAAAATCATCATTTTAGCATCTTATTATGGCACATATTTATTAGAACACATGGAGATTATAGATATGGGATACCTACATATAGCCTTTATATCTGACTGCTATCAGAAGGTGGGCCACAACTGCGAGAAGGTACGATTCTATATCCCTATTTGGGTTTTCTTTTGTAATATTTATTAAGGAAGCTTCGGTCGAGTTTGGCTAGATTTTCTACTTGCAACACATACCCCCAACCCATATAAACAGAGCTGGGACCCCTCTTAGGGCATTGGCCAAAACAAGATCATTTGATCAAATACAATATTTGACGGATACAATCCTCAAACAAGAGTAGAGTATTACCTCCCGTCGAGAGGGCATGAACATGTTTAAATCTTTGTTTCCGTATTCATCTGTGAAAAGATTTATATGCATAGATGGAAGCAGTTTCTACAGAGTTTTGAAAGGAAAAAAAAAAAGCTTTAGCTCCTTGGATTGAAGCAGTTCTTTTTTATATCTTCAGTTAAATGGTCTTCTTTTTTGATATTTATTTTGTAATCTAAGGAATACACATATGATTATTGTCGAATCCAATTTAGATTTGGGTACACTGAGTATTGTGCTATGCGACAAGTGAGGAAATTAGTGGAATATTTGCTTGCTTAGGGTACACTGACTATTTAAAGGACAAACTATGTATCGTTTGCAAGATATAGATGTACTTTTAAGTTATGTCATACAAGATATAGATGTGCTAATTAGGGCCTAACTTTTTCTTTGTGTTGTCAAACAACTTTTAGCAATTCTTAAATTTTATTTCCCGTATTTTTCAAGTATAACGCAAGTAGGATTAGAAATTCAACGTGGAATACAAAAAAGTCCATAGCGTGTTAAATCTGAAGCCTGCGATCGCTGTACACTATTGAGCTTATATTACACTTTAAATAGCTCGAGGACTTTTTTTTTTATTTTTTTAAAGTGAAATTGCTGAATCATTCTGCTCTAAGGTTGTGCTTGCAGAAACGGTGACCAAGAGAATTCTATTGTTTTGAAGCATAAATTGGATGTCAGGTGTTCGAATTCTATTATTCTGAAGCATAAATTGGATGTTAGGTGTTCAACGATGACAGGAGCCTAGATGACTTGAATATATTCGATGGCATTACAATGAACCATCTGGGGCTCTCTTGATCTGGTCTAGACTAATGTTTTGAACAAATCCAACTATGCAAAGGTTGCAATCAGGAAACGAAAAGAAAAGGTGAGAAAGGGTGTCACTTGAAGTTCCTAAATGGCTTAGTACACCTCTTGAGTGTCGATGTGTCAATTTTAGTGCAAATGTTTATTGGTATTGACATGTATACTACACTGTAGTTCATGGAGAACAAGAATAATGTGTATTTAGTCTACTTAATTGATATAAATCGTGTAGAACTTTATGATTTTCTTCAATTCACAATATTTCTAAAAAACTGTCAATTGTAGCTTTTTTTTCTCCATTTTTCTTTGTTTCCCTATAAAGCACTGCAAGATACTTTTTTACCTTGCCAAACTAACATGTACACTTTTTTTTAACAAAGATACAATTTTACATCATGTGTGTGAGGACAACTGATGTATGGTATCAATAGTCTTGATTTATGGATGGTTGATGATGAAACATTGCGATGTACAGGCGATGGTCAAAGAGAGGGTGCTCTTTTTCCTCATCATTTTTGAATTTTCATTAAGGAATAATTCCTCCCAACAATTGGTGTCATGTGAATTCTGTTTAGGCCATAAATACCCTGAAGTGTTGATTCCTGTGCTGTTAGGTTATGTAGTTAGGTCCAGATTTGAGGGAATTCAATGCATTCATTAGTTCTTCATTTTGTCAGAGTTGTAATTTTTAAATAATTCATGTTTTTCATATTATTTTTCTATTCTAATCTGCTACTAGAAAATCATGTGCCTCACATTTTACAAGATCTTTGATGATATGAATGCTTGAGGATGCTATTTTGAATTGCTATTTTTCTCAGCAATCAAAAGTTTATGTGGAGTATTGTGATACAAATAATATATGTATATATGATGTGTTCTCATTTGAATATCACTTTACTTGTAGAGTGAAATAACTTAGAATCACAACTAGAAGGGGTTTCTTTGGACGAAGGGATGGGTTCAAAATCATTGGCCTTTGATAAGTTTTTCCTTATTGAATTATTTTTCTTTCGTTAGGAGGGGTTGCAACTGCTAGGATGATGGACATGTGCAGTGTGAAATCCCTTCCAGTGCTCAACTAATATAGTTTGGACATGTTCACGGGATACACTGTAAGTCCATACCAGAAATACAGAGTTGCCATTTCAATTTTTAAGACGTTTCCAGCATGTTCACACTCGACATTTCCTTCTGTTCACTGCAGTTAAGGCAACTACACCGAGTACTATTCCGATAACAATTTACTAGAGTACTATTACGTGACAATTAATGTCTTGAAAGTAACTGAGATATAAACCTCTATGGTTTGCTTACCATATAAATTTCTACTGGTCACACGATAGAATATTATTGTTGATCATGTAAATGTTATTTACTAGAGTACTATTTTGAGACAATTTTATACTTTTAGTACTTTGTATATGTCGTGTGATATACATATCATTGGAAAATCAATGCATTAAACTTTGAGTATGCTTATATATTATGGGAAACGTGCAATACGATTACTAGTAGTAATTAGTGTAGTACTTAATTAAAAAGAAAATATGCCCAATGTGTTCCAGCATGCACGCAACAAATTATTTGAAGCAAGTAATGTAATTATTTTTTCCGTCGCACGAACATGTCCAGAACAATACTAACTATTTCGTTCATAATGAAAATAAAAGAAATAACACAAATACTGGATTGGATGCATAAATTGATAACTATTTCGTTCATAATGAAAATAAAAGAAATAACACAAATACTGGATTGGATACATAAATCGATAAATTAAGGATAATGTCTCTTTCATCCATAACAAGAGAACAAGTTCACAAATACTACACTAATACATTACACTGGATACATAGATTTGAGCCTCCATGATGAGAATCAAAACTCCACAAATATAATTGCATACATAGATTTGACGCTTCGTCATAAGAACAAAGATAGGTCCACCTACTAAACTGGATAATAAGAATTTAAGACAAGTCACAAATAAACTAGTAGTGCGCCATAGTTTTGAAGGTGGTAGCTGCAGTGAATGAATCCAAAACTGTCTCTAACTACATAGAATGTTGATGATTTTCCATTGTTGATTCCAATCTCTGAACCAATCAACACTACCGAGTGATAATGTGCATCTAGCATTGGAGGATAATATATTTCGCCATCATTCAGAAATGTAAACAAAGATGTAAAGGGGATATTACCAATTAAAGGAAACCCATTGGCCATAAACCGAGTTATCAAGTGAATATCCCTGACATTAACTTTGAAGTAGCCTCGAATCCGCGTACATGGTAAACGAGATTGTTGTTGGTATTTCTTAACGTCACAAATAAAATCTACAAGCACACGGAGAATACCGATGTAGCTTCAGTATTCAGTATTCCGAGTATCGATTTCCACAAGGAACGTGTGTGCTCAGCTCTTCTCCAATTTCATCCAAGGACACAAAGCAAACATATGCAAATGGTAGAGAGGATTTTCAAGTGAAAAACAGTGTCTATAGAAAGATTAATTTTAATCCTAACACGATACTTCAGGAACTGTCAACCCGCTATTTCCAGATGTCGCTCTAATACGTACCGGACGAGGACTTAAGTGCTCTTGAGGTTGTCACCACCTCTACACCCACCTACGTACTGTGGAGGACTTAAGTGCTCTTGAGGGTTGTCACCACCTCTACACCCACCTACGTACCGTGAGATACACAGTAATCACTGAAAATTAATTAGCCAGACACCGCGTCTACGCAATTAATTACTACTCTAACGTTGGCCAAGCATTAAAGCAATCACTACATATTACTAGACCATAGTGAACAATGATCCCATATAGTAATTAGGAACTAACCAAGAATTAATTCTCACTAAGCAAATCTTAATTACTCAGAATGATATTTCTATTAAAGTGGAGTAATTAACAAAGTACAAGAATAATGAGAGGATTACCGACAACTCTGGAATTCCTCCAATTTTTTCTACTTTACTCTCTCCCTATTCTAAGTATACTATAGAACATATAAAGAGCCCTAAGTATACTTAGAGCCTCTTATAATTCAGCTCTACATCTTGATGTCTGT